CATGATTAATACTGGTTTCCAGTAAAATAACATTCCCAAATGAGGATTCTGGGAAAACGATAGAGAGGAGCTAGATTACATTTCTTTTACCATATTTGCATCCAGTGATCAAAAATAGAGGATAGCATTGGTGAATAGTGACTCTTGCAGTGGATGACAGCATCTGTAGAGAGCCAAAAACTTGCTGACTGAATGTTGCTTTTATAGAAATCCATGTTGTGCAGAATTAAAAACTGTTATGCTGCATGTTGCTGCGGATAATTTGCTCAACTATGGAAGGAAACATTTCCTCTCTGCCTTCCTATCTCTTTTCCTTTTCTGAAAATGGGATATACTAAAATATATCAGATTACTAAAAAGAGATGCAAGGAGGATATGTAGAGAAACAGATTTGGTTCCTGATGTTTACAGAGCACAAAGGCCTGCGTTCATAAATAGATTCTTAGAATATTTGTGTTTAGCATCACGTGAGATACGACTTTTGTTTCCTTCAAAACAAAACCCAAATATATTGACAGTGGATGTGAACTCTGCTTTTAAAAGAATTTTTGTATATTATTTCCTTTTATGTAAAGCTGCCATAATTTACTGATAAAATTATTGTGTGTTCTACTTTTTAATTGCTCAACAAAGTACAAAATGCATGGAATCACACTTTCTATATATAAAAAAAATAATTGGCACTTCTATTTATTTAAATAAAATATGAAAGACAGTGAGACGTGGTGGTTTCCCTGGGCTGGCCCTTGGCCAGCAGCCAACACAGCCATTCACCCACTTCCCCCCCAGCCCCAGGGGACAGGGAAGGGAAATGGGGGGGCAAGGGTAAGGAGACTCATAGGTTGACATAAGAACAATTTAATAATTGAAATAAAAGAAAACCTAACATAATACTGATATTAAAAAAAAAAACCCACCAAAACAGAACAGACAGATTTCTTAATGCCTAAGAGAAAACAAATTAGGTAATAGAATAACAGTTTTCTGGACCTAAATATGCTTTAATGTGAGGGAAAGGAGAGGGATACATTCCCTTCATAAGCAAAATAGGAGGAGGGTGTGTAGTTGGGATTTTATTTTTTTGAAAGTACAGGTGATGTAAATAGCTATTCAAAGAAGATTAAAGCTATTACTGCAGATCAGTAATATTTATATTAACTTATGCACATCTTCTGAGGGTTGTTACAAAAGGCAAGGGTCTTTCCAGGTGCTCACTACTGGAGGAATTCTGAATCTGAGCGTAGGCTTTTAAGGTACCATAACAGTTAACTGCATTGGCAGGCTAGCAGTATCTTTTTTCAGTGTATTAATGATAATCATGCTTCTGCCCTTCCTTCCCTTTTTGTGTTAGGATGTGTATGAATATTTGTTTCAGCTTTTTTTTTTGTTTTGGTGGGTTTTTTTTGGTTTGGGAGGTTTTTTGGGTTTTTTTGTTTCCCCTCCAGTTGACTTGGTTTTTTAGATGTACAGCTCCATAGCAAGAAGATAAACACTCACCTTGGATAAATACTCAAGTCACTGAATATGGAAACTGAAGTTTTCTTTGCAGCTTTGACTTTGCTCCATTTTGTTTGCTTTTTTTTTTTTTTAAACCTTTGGTGCTTTTGAAATTTTGTGTAATATTTTATGCCACGAGATGTTTATCTTCAGCATCCTCTGTTGCTCTCATACTACATTGAGGCCATAAGCAGAATGTAAGTTAGTTAGTTCTACATTTAGTAACTTCTGACAGAGAGGAGGTTGATTCTGTTCTTGAATATCTACAGTAGCTAGCTATTATCTTTGACCTGCGACTCTTTAAAAAAGACCCTGCCCGAGGAAAAGGTTCTCTAAGATTCAGGTACATTACCAGTCGTAGTTAGATTTACTTTTCTCTGACGACTTCCATCCAGAATGTCCAAATGTGTCCATGTTTGTATTTTGTAATTAAAAAAGCTGTGAAGTAATAGTCCATAAGATAATAGTAGTATTTTTTTTTAACTTTAGATGAATTTGTGTTTGTTTGGGATTACTATATTTAGAGGTCTATGGCTTTCAGAATTTTAATGTGAAAGAGTTGTTCAGAAGGTGTTATGTTTAAGCAGCAGGTAGACAAGAATATCTTAGTGTTCCATCCTAAGAAAAATGTCAGTTAATTAGGAAGAAAAAAGCATGTTTTTACTGTTTATGCGGACTGTCACGTGTAAATCCTGCAGCTGTTTCTGAGTCTTTCATTATCTGTATTGAGAAAAAGCTGTCATAGTCTGAAAACCTTAAAAGCCTGTAATTTACCAGTATGTAAGGAAGGCAAGTTTTACAGAAGAATGGCTAATGACTCTTATTTCAGGAGCCGTAGAATATCTATTTGTTTGTAAATTAAATTTTATTTCAAATTAAATTTTATAATTTGTAAACTTTATTTCTAAGCAAAAGATTCATCATAGATGTGAATTGGCTGTGTATGTGTATTAATACTTCTATTTTTAATCTGTGTAACTTTTTATGCCTAAGTAGGTGTTGTCTCTCAAGTGTTCAAGCAAGGCTCAGATTAAAAAAAAAAAATCCTTCCTTTCTAAACGTAATTTTAAATAAGGTGAGACATATGTATGTGTTATATATATGTGTGCATATGGGTGGACAGATAGTTATAGAAAACATACTAAAAAAGCAGGTTTGATTTACATGGAAGTCTGGAAATCAGATTTTATTAATTACTTCCATAAAGTGTTTTGGCATTGTACCTTATTTGAGTGTGTTGCCCTAATGGAGTCATAAATGCTGCAGGGAGGAAACCTCACTTCAGGTTCTGAAGTTGATAGCACAGAGGAGAAATGGTTGTATGGTTGCAGGGTTGTTTTTAAAAACAAACCAACAAAACCCAAATAAATAACACCCCCCACCTCCCCCCCCCCCCAAAACCAACCCACAAGCAAATGAAAAAATAACCCACTATCACCACTTCCCCCTTTTCTGCCTCCCCCAGAAAAAGCCACCCAAACATCCCAAACTCATTCTCATTCCCTGAGAGCACAGTGGTCACAGATCTTGAGGAGTGTCTTTGTGGCTTTTTAGGTGTGTCTTCTCAGAAATAAGATTCGTGAACTAGAAAGCCCTGAGGAAAAGCAGCGTGTCTGTGGTTTGGTTGGAGCGTTTGGTGGCAGCACCTTAGATGTGGGTGTTTGATCACTTACATTTTAAAATAAGTCTCCTTAGGATTTTCAGTGTTTTCACGAGAGAAGTTCCTAGTAACGATTAGGATATCTGACAGACTAAAGGCTAAGTTAGATCTGCTAGGTCAGAAGACAGCAGAATATACTTTTAATCTCCTGGTCAGCTTTGCCAAGAGTTTTGTTTCTGTTTATTATTGAAACGTACAATAAAGGCATCTTCCTAGAAAGGATGATTAAGTCTTTGGGGTTTTTTGGATGTCACTAAGGTTTAGAAAAAGTCACAAGATTTTTCTTGGAAGAGCTGTGGATCTTTTAGGTAGCTTGCGTACTTTAGAACTGGCTAACCTTTACATTACACTACAGTGGGGAAATTATTTTTCTTGAAGCACACAGAGTGATGAAGCTGACTGAATCCAGTTTTGGTTTGCAGTTCAATCTGTGCACTTCTGCTGAAACCAGTGCAATAGCAATCAGTGTAGCTTTCTTATATCACAGTGTGTGGTCTTACTCCTTTTCTGAGCCTTGATAAAAGAAATGTTACGGGGGGGTGTGTGTATTTTTTAAAAATTTTCTTCTATCATTGTGGTACGAAACACTTCTAAGTGAGAGTCAGAGTTCTGTTTGCTTCTACTTGTCTCATAGCTATGGAGTGTGGATTAATGGCAAGTACTTACCTGGCTTCAGACATATTGGATAAAGACAAACTGGAATTTACATCTCCAATTATGTCTTAATAAATTGCAAATTGAGCTAATGTTTGTAATTTTAATCAAGTGAACTAATTTTGTCCCTGGCTGGTGATGTATTTAATGTCGAAGGTGGTGTTCCAATTGAAGAAAGGTTTGAAATGTGTTGATAGATTTTTACATATTCATTTAAACGTATTACAAGTAAAATAGGCTTGTTAAAAGTGACATCTGAGTAGGTGTAATATCTAGGTAGTTTTTGACAGTAATCTGAATAAACTTTGTGTTCCACTAGGAAAAAAAAAAAGGTAAGTACTGAACAATTTTTCAAGCACTGATACCACCTAGTGGTAAAAAAATACTGTTACTTGTTTACATAATATGTATTCAAAAGAATACGAAGTTTGTGTTATATATAAAGAAAGGGGAATTAAACTGGCTTTTGCAACATTATGCACGTGTCTGGTACTGCAAAAGCTGTTTGAGAGTGCGCAGCTAGAATCTGAACACTTTCGCTTCACTGCTTACTACGTACAGGGGTGGTTTTGATGCAGCTTTAAACATACTCTGTCCCATTAAAAAAAAAAAAAAGAAATTTAATTAATTGCACAACTGAATGAGGGTAATGGGGATTTTGTACAGGTATGAAAGAGGTCCTTTTTTGTCTTTGTATACATGTCAAAAACATCTGCTTTTGTTTAAAAAAAAAAAAATCCATCTTTGGAATAGAACTTTGAATTCAGGTAACATAAAGGGTGTGAATATGGGTTGGGAATTCCTGGCATAGTCATTAATGAGACTTTGCAATGAACCAGAGTGGAGAGCTGGCCTTGGAGAAAACTGGCCTGGCAAAATGTTGACTTGGATAGGTTCCCAGAACTGGTTCAGAAGGAACTGCAGCTTGTCCTATGGGCACAAGGAGGGGGTGGCGTGTGGTGGGGAGCGAAGGCAGGGCTCCTGCACCTGGAGGTGATAGCAGTGCATGCCAGGCAACAATGACTTCGTATAACCATCTTTCATTTCTTGTCACCAGCTGGTGTAGTCCCCTATAAAAGTTAATGTTCATCATTGTAACATCTGTAATGTGACTGTTGACATATAAGATAGTAACTTAGCTAATTCTGACTGATGTATGTAGGCTGTTTTATTTTTTCCTGTTTCATAGGTACTTGTTTCACAGTGGCAATCCAGAGCATCCAGGAGACATACTTCTAAACACAACTGTGGAAGTTCTGCCTTTTCAGGTATGAGTTTATTGATTTGTGTCTGCTCCATTATAGGATAAAAGCAAACCCTCCTAATTTTATTGACTTTTTTTAACAGGATGAGGGAGATACGAATGTAGGATTAACCGTAGGATCTTGATGCCCTGATGCTCTCATACTTTTTTTTTTTTTTAATTGGATCTATTCACAGAAAACTACTGTAACTATTCAGATGTTCATTCAGAGTGCAGTCTGCTACAAGTGCCGTTGGTAATTTGGAGGGGAGCAAGCTCATTTTCTTCCTGCTACTTCCACTGCTACTATTTAAAACAAAAAAATGAACCATCTTCCCTCTACTGTGTATTGTGGAAAATGGGAGAGCTAAGTCAATCTTCTTTTTGACTTAGTAAAAAAGTATTGGTTCAGGAATTGACACACATCCAGATCTTACTGGATTTTGAAATAGCAGGACTCTTAAACCAAATGTCTTTCTTTCTCCTAATTACTGATTTTTTTTTTTTCCATAAATCAGTCTGAGTTTTATCTCAGGAGGGCACTACACTATCTAAAGTATATTCTTGCTTGAAGACAGATGGTATGGGTTCTTTTTCTTCAACTAGATATTATAACTAACCATTTATATCGCAAAACTCTGTGAGGATTAAGCTAATACTTCAGACAAGTTTATTTTATTTAGTATTAAAATAGTAAAGTATTTCTATCTTCTCCCATTTACATGGTATAGGTGTCTTGAAATCTGTGCCTAAATTACCATATGCTAAATATATATAGATATATATTTTTAAAGAAACTTTTTTTAAAAAAAATAATCATGGAAGAGTTCACTTCTCCATTCTTGTAGTCTGTCTTCCTGGGAGTGAGCAAAAATAGGAAATTCTGAACAGCCCCAGCCCTAAAAAGAAGTTTGTCAATTTGATTCTAAATATACAACATGATATGTGAGATATGATACTATATTGTGGGATATTATATTATAAGATCTATGGGTTCTCTTTCTCAAGACCTTTGGAAATAAATTCAACTGCAAAACCAGCAGCAACTCTCACTTAATCTGGGCCCAAGATACCACAAGAATGCGCAGGATAATGAGAAAAAATGTGCATCAAGCATCTCTTTTTTGACTACACTCGGCTGTGAAATGTCCCTCAAACTGGAGCATCTCTTACGGAAGTAATGCTGCTGAGCTTCTATTACTATTGACACAATTTGTGGGAAGGTAAACAGGAGATTCTGCAGCTGTCCTGTTCTAAGCCATTGGTGTCAGCTGAAAATGTCACCAATATGAGGATAGCAGCTGCAGAATGATAGGTACTCTCCTGAGGGAATTATTTCTCCACCATGGACTTTAGTAGAGCTGGAAGCCCATTGAGGTTCTTTGACCCTGATCCTCCCTAAGCAGAATTCAGGAAAACAGAAACCAACCTTTAGAAACCAGAGTGCCCCCAGACTGAATTTGTCTGGCACTCAAACAACGCACTCAAAAAAAACAACCAACCAAACAAACAAAACCCCTCCCCAAAACCAAACAAAAACCCCAAACCTCCCCCTTAAAAATTCCCCAAAAGAAACAAAAAATCCACCACTTTCAGAGGCCTCACTTAAAAGTAGGAATTAAAAAAAAAAAAAACCCAACCAAAGAAAAACCCCCAAAAAACCAACCAAACAAAAATGGTGGATTTATTCTCCTGGTTTGTCAAGCATTTTTAATTGATTCCTAGGAAATTATTCCAGTGGGTCTTTTAGTATTGGATCATGTGATTCTGGTTGTAATTTTCCAGCTGTTTTTGAAGCTCTAATCTACAGTTTAATTTTTCTGTGCTTATTAAAGAAGCTTATTGATACCCATCCCTTTATAGTGAGGCAGTAAAAATCGCAGTGCTTCCCTCGCTGGTCTGGTGGCTTCTCATCTCGCCCAAATTCTTGCATCAAAAAGTAAGCTGTAAGCTTCCTTTGTCCTGAGAGAAATCTCTGGTTCAACGACAGGAAAAGAAGGCAAGATCCTTCTGCCTTTGTTTTTCTTCTGTGTCTGCCAGTATCTGCTATGTATTCTGTTCATGTGGCAGTTACCATGCGAGGTACGTGGGGCACTTGAAGTACTTCTTTTTTCTACTTTGAAGCCAGGACTGTTCAGTTCTGGAACACTGCTGCTGCTGCTGCTTCTTTTTTTGTGTTGGCTTGTCTACAGCTATAAATAACTATTCTAGGCTGGTTCATAATTATTTAGAAAAGATGGATGCTGAATATATAACGAGAGTGCACACACATTTATCTTTCCCTGGCAAAGTCATATGTCAAAATAAATGTTCCCATTTATGCTTTGTTGTTCTAGAATGAAGAACTGGTTTTGAGCAAAGAAACCAAAGACAAACGCTTAGAGGATGGTTACTTCAGGATAGGTATGTCACAGTGGAAAGAAACCTGTATTGTTACTGTTGCAACAGTTAAGACACTTTCATTAAAAACAAACCAAACCTAAATCTGAGGTTTGATCATTCATTTTGTGCATGTGACCTCGTAGGCTTTACTCTTAATATCCTTTCCAATTTTTCTTTTCCGAGACTTACGTACTAAACAAAGATCTAGTGTGACTCTTAGTTGTTGCGCAACTACATCCAAATTCCCTGCCAGGACTGATCACCTGTGTTATTGTAGAGGCATTTCCAGGTTGTGTAAGATCACCTCTTCTGTCCTGTGACTGCACAAGTGCCCTTCTGTGAGCTGTTATGCTTGGCCTGGGTCTGAACCCACCCTACAGACAATCAGCTGTCTCATCATGGCATGAGACTGGCTTTTCCATAGCCAGGCAGCTGTTGTCAAGGAAGAGAAATTTTACTCATGGATTGCCTTTAGCTTGCTGGACATAAGTTGGCCATCCCTGTTAAAATGAAAACAGGGGTTTTTTCATCTTAATGAATTGCAGTTGCTGTGTATGTGTTTTAAGTGTAAAGTCTAACTGGACTTTTAAACTAGATTCATACTCATCCTAATATAACTGAAGATCCTTTAAATAGGAATACATTAAGCATGAATTATATCCCTTGTCCTTAATGCTCCTTGAAAACACGTAAGTGAGGAGCTTCATCTTTAGTTCCATGATATTAAATGAAAATCTGTGCCAAAATCATCCCAGAGTTTGAGGTGCTCGTACCCTTACGCAGTTCCAAAGCTTTTATTCTTACGTGTAATCCTGTTCAGATTGGTGTGCTCTGATGATACGCCCCATCTTGTTTGCTGCTGCAAAGCTGAATCTGATATCAAAAATCCCTGGCTATCTTTTGTTTTGGGAATGATACCAGTTAACCCTACAGCCACCAGCAAGAGGTTTCACCTGTATATACTATATATACATTTTTCTGGACACAGATTTTTGAACAGGAGTTAACTGTACTTTTTGCTTGTTTTGCAGGGAAATTTGAAAATGGTGTAGCTGAAGGAACAGTTGACCCCAGCCTAAACCCTATTTCATCATTCCGGCTTTCAGTGATACAAAATTCAGCAGTTTGGGCAATTCTGAATGAGGTGAGAGGTGATACAACCTTTTAAACATAAAACCAGCAAATGTGAGATTTCTTCTTTCTGTCAACGTGTTGAAGCTCAAAATTTTGGCTAATGCTGAAAACAGTTACCTCTTATTACTGAGAAATGTGATACCCTAAAACATGACTTCTTTTTTTCTGATTCTCTATTTCAGATTCATATTAAAAAGATTACAAACTGATCATGGAAATCTGCTTTAGAGGAAAAAGAAAAAAAAAATTCTTGAAAACTTTTCCTATGAAATCTGACATCCTTAGCAAGTCACAAATTGCAAATACTGAGCATGCACCTTATTCCAAAATTCTTTCATTTTCACTTGAACTCTACCTCTTGTGAAACCTACTGTAGATGAGAAGATTGTATTTATCCCTTCTTATCTGATCCATCCAGAAACTGATGCTCCACAGTGATAATGTTTGTCTGAGGCCTAAGCTGTCCTCCACTTTAATGTGACTTTACCATCTGATGGTTACAGAACCCTGCTACGCTTAACCTGTACTATTTTGATAGTATGGTAATATAGAGAAGTTGTACATATTGTTACATTCCTTGAAGAAGAAGAAAAAAAATATAATTATTGTTAAATATGTTTTATGAAGGGGGTACTTTCGGAGTTTGATTTATTTTCTATAACAAGAACCCTCTTTTATAGACTGTCAGGGATATATATTAAAAATGTTAGGGATATTTAATTTATTAAAATAATTTGAAAAGTACATATTTTTATGCAGCAAAATTTTAAATCGATATAGTTTTTTTTATGAATTATCTAGTTTAAGTTATCTTTCTACATTTTTCTTTGGAGATGCAAACATAAATTAATACCATATTTCAAATATACTGCCATGTTAAAAAAAAAATAGATTAAGTTTCTAAATTCTGTAGTTTTGTACACAGAATCTGAATGATGTTCAGAGGCATTAACAGAGTTCTGAAGAGCATTGTTCTTTGGGGCTATGAAATTCCGCTATGTACAGTTTGTAGCCACGTGAAAAGCACGCTGAAATGTCTTGTTTCATACTATGTACTAAATCTGCGGTGATTTTTAGATTGAATCCATTGCATTTTAGAAGAATTTTTTTTATTCCAAACAGTTCTTTCTAAAAATCTTTGTAGACATTTCCTAGCCTGGACAAATTCATTTTCTGTACTGAAAAAAAAAAATATAAAAATTTCTCCAGCCTTGCTTTGAAATTACAGAGGTTACCTTTTAGCAAAAGAATTAATAGTAGTTAGATACATCTGATCTACAAGAGGTCTCCTTTTATTGCAGTGTTTATTTTAGGTACATTACAGTGAGTAGTTGCAGTTTGTTTTTATTTTCTTCCATTGTTCAAGAACAAGGTTTCAGTTTGACTCCTTTATTGATCAGTGTAGTAACTTGCACTAACTTTTGATAGGAACTGAATTTGGCCTCAAGTTAGTACCCTGCCCTTTCGTTTCAAGGGAAACAACAGTGATCTTAAATGAATCATAAACTCGGTCAAGAACAGAAAGTGATTTGGATTAAATCCAGAGCGGAACTGTTGCAGTACTAATGCTGCCGCTGCTCTTAAGAGTCCTTCTGCTTCGGTGCTTATGTGTAAGGACACGGGCGTGGGAAGATTTAAGTTACCCAGTCAGAAACAGTCAGGAAGAAGAAAGGCAGAAATTCCTCTGTCTAATAGGAATGAAGTGCCTGACTGACACTGAAGGGAGGCATCTACCCTGGCTTGGGGATTCTCAGCTGTGCTGTGAACCAGCTTCCTGGAACTGCCAGCTCGAAAGCTGGTCTAGTTTTCCTTGTACAAAAACCCTCTGTTATCCCCAGCATCTTTGTGATGAGGGCACAGAGGCACAAAACCAGTTATGGGGTCCCTGATCTAGAGCAGGGATCCGGAATTCCTGTCTCCAGCATGAATGTTTGACTAATAGATTTGGCCTCTTTTTCATGACATATTTATAAGGAGCAGGAGCCTAAATGTGACTGTCCAGCACTGCAAGCTGAAAGCCATCACCACTGGGATATAGAGTCAACTTGACTTGTCTTTTCTTTTGCTTTGTTGGAAAATTGTGTCATAAGCCTTGACAGTTGAGCAGTATTCAAGTTTAAGAGCTTATCTGCTTCTGCAGACCGTACTTATTTTGTTTTAGCTATGTTGTCTGAGGACACAGGGAAGACAAGATTTGTACACAGAGATAAGAGCTTCTCTTGAGACTGACTGGTGTAAGCTGAAGGAAAGTAGCAAGCTTGGCAGGCCTTGTTTACTTTTTTGTGATTGTCTCAGATGGTGTAAATAAAATGTTGCTTGGAAAGCTCGTCTTGCCCATAGAGAGAGTGGGCATAAGCTAAGCACTGGCCTCATAAATGGAGTTTATTCTTGGATTTAGGAACTTGGGTGAATAGGCTCAGAATCCTGCATGAATCTAGCCCGTTGTGCTGCCCCAGCCTGGTCTGTTATATGGATAATGCCATGCCATCAAATTATTGCCATGCAGTGGTTTTTTATCACACAATAGCTAGCAAAGGTCTAAGAAAGTGTTTAGTTTTTCTTCTCAGCTGTGCCTGTGAATGAATGATGCAAGTAATTTAAACTATAGCTATTTATTACCATTTAGATCGCAGAAATACGTTAGATATTGCAGTTTCTTAATATAACTAGTTTTGCTGACGGTGACTTTCATCTTTTTCCATGAGTTCAAAAGTTTACTGGTACCACTTATTTAAGAAAGCTATGTGCTTTTTCTCAAAGCATCACTGTTCCTGATGTTTCACAGTAGCTAAGATGATTCATTGCTAATATATCTAAATATATACAACCCTTACCACATTGATTGCAAGACCCTGATGTTACCAGTATATTTAGTTTTCCAAAATGTTGACAAATTTATCAAAGACAAGGAATTAACTAGTGCTTGGTAAAGTATGTGGTTTTTTTCCTAAAGATTGTTGCATTTTTATTATGTTGGAAATACTCTGGGCTGCTTTAACGATTTAAATGTCCCTGAGCTCATATGCTCTCTAAATAAATGTGCCACGTTAATACAAACGACGTTTTGTAGATTCAGGTAAATGAAGACCTGGTGTAATCGGATAGTTCTACAAGTTTGCTTGGAAGTTTTGCTGAGAAATAGAAAAATACTTTCTATCTAATGATCTCTGCAGACAGCTGCTTTGGGCTTTCCACCTTTCAAATTCCAGTCCCCAAGTCACGCTTATGACTGGGGGTACTCCAGAGAGGCTGGTGTGTCTTACACGTCTCAGTTGTAAGTTACAGTATTATCGCAGGAGTTCCTCAGCATCTTAAACCTAGTACCTGATTCTGGGGAGGTTTTTCCTATGTTTATTTAATTTCAGGTTATTTTTGTTGTGGCCTTAGAAATCCTCCCCTCTAAGCCACTGAATCTTATAGTAATCAAGTAATTGAAAGGGTTTCAAAATATTTTTCTATTTCTCAGCAAAATTTCCAAGCAAACTTGTTTCAAAATAAACTGCATTATCCCATGATCCTGTTAGGTCCTTCTCAAGCTGTTAAAGCTTCAGAAAAGAGAACTTTAGTTAAACCAAAGGCATTACCAGAAACCTTTGTTATCTGGGCAAATTATTCCTAACTTATACTGGATGCTGAACAGACCGCTGATTGGGATTGCTCTGGACCAAGGAAATGCAAGGCTGTCAATATAATCTTGCTTTGCTCATTCAGTGAGTAGTCCTACTGAAAACTTTGTAAATAATGTGAACAGGATGCAATCCCAAATTAGCACTTTAAAAAAAAAATAAAAATAAAAATAAAGAGTGTTTCTAAAGCGCTGTGGAAGGCTTTGCGCTTTTGCAGGCATCTCAACCATGTATTAGCATCAACAGAAAATATTCCTACAGATACATTTGATTTTTCTTAACTGAAAGATGGCTTAGAAAAATTCAAACAGGTAAACATGATTCACAGACCAATAAGAGACTGGACTCTTCTGTCATATCACTGCTTATCTAGCTCCTTCAAATGCAGTTTTTAAATACCTTGAGTCAGATTAGAGCAAAGCGATTTATACTTTGCCCATGTGATACACAATTCCTTGAATGGGCTGGAGTGAGATTGAACAACTGTGTAACATTTTTCCTTCCTTTTTTCCAAGTATATGATCATTTCAGTAATCATTTTGTTGGAAATACTTGCTCCAAATGAAGTATTGTAGTAATCTGTGGTTTGCTTCAAACTTGGAAAGTATTATTTTGGTTTTGTAGAGATAAAAAAGAAATTAAATCTTTTCAAACCTTGCTCCCCTGAAATAAATTAGCGCTAGGTTCTGTATTTGTCCTTACTAGGAAGGATGTATTCTGAAAAAGCTAAAGGCAAGTAACTGTAGTAGAAAGGGGGGAAAAACCCCCTGTTTTAAAATCATCTTTACAATCACCAGCATAATGCTGAAAGGCTATTAAACAACTGGTGTTTTCAGGCTGGCATTGATTGCTGATGTAAAAAATACACCCCATGGAGAGCTGATGAATTAAGTCTTTGAGAGTGTCGCTTTTCTGACCTTAGTGGTTTCTTAAGGTTTTGCTGATTTCTGCTGTGAGCAGCTAGAACTTAAAGTAGCTTAATTGTGAGAATGATGAGCCTTCTTTCAAGGGGACAGACTTTGGTATCTCTAAAGGGAAGGCATACAGGCCCTGGGTCCTTCATTGATTTCAATGGTATCACGCCATGGGGCACTAAATATGAAGTATTTTTGCTGTTAGAACTGAGGTGGGTGATCACTGGTGCTAGGATTCCTGTTAGGGAAAAGGCGCACAGTTCGGCTGCAGCTGCCTGCAGGACGGGAGCTCGTGCTGTTAGCCAGGGCGGGAGCAGGTCCTGACTGGAATCCTTCACCTTCCGCGGATCAGCGCTTCCCTTGTTAAAAGGGGAACATTGCCCAGTGTCTGCTGAGAGGGGAACATGATTCTCTTCAAGCCTTAACAGTGGCTGAAACACACAGTACTGTAAGATGCACTGCCAGCATATTTCGTATTTTCAGATGTAGTTTTTCCTTAGAGATCAAAGTCTCGTATGAAGTCTTACTGTAACCAGTTTACTCTCGCATTGTTCTGGAAACTGAATCCTAGTGCTCATGTTTCATACTGAACACTCTGCTTTGGAAAGCTGTCACCTTCATTTTCCAGAAGGTCTTGTTTGTGATGGTCAGTTTATACTCCTGCCTTGTGGACTACACAGCTGCAGGCATTGCCACGAGCCCACCCGCGTCGCCAAACTAAACTTGTACTTTCCTTCCACATTCATTGACCTGCCACTCGGAGCAGTGGATGTAACAATACCCACTGGACTTAAGAGTGACTGGGTTTAAAAACTTGCTGCTATATTTGGAAACCTGATATGGGTCATGTTAATTGTGCCTTTCATCACTGTTTCTTCTGTGTGCCAGAGTTGTCCGTGTATATTTGAAGTAGTCATTAAAATAAATCTTTCATAAAAGGAGGGGACAGTTCTGTACCTAGAGTCAGTTGTTGCTTTACCATTGCAACACTCCCAAGGCAAGCTATTCCAATATTATTCTTAAATAAAACTGCTTTTCAGTGTCACTTAAAACCCTCATAACGTAGAGCTTATGCCAGTATGTACAGAATATCTGCAGTAAGAGTTACGCTAAATAGACTTGTTGCAGTTAAATTTAAGCTACAGAGATGTACAAGTAACTTGTTTTTAGGAATGTACTGCAAAAGTATTTGAACAAAATTGCTAACATGTTTACTGTTGTAAATATTTTAATAAAAAAGGACACTTCAAACTTTTTTACACAATTATCTACAATAAAGAGAAATTTACAACCATTTACAAAATGTTCTTAATGTTTTCTTTACTGTCGAGACAGGTAAGATAAAACATAATAAACATTAGATACCTGAAGTCCTGGTTTTATTTCACTCTGTATTTATAAAAAGAACAAAGCATCTTGGTGAAGTTCCATCCACATGCTAAGGAGACCAAATAGAGCATGATGAGAAGTGCAAAGGGATACAAAAGAATAGCTGTGTTCTTCAGAAAGGGCAGTGCTGAAACAAGCAACAAGGAAGCAGGTGTAAAGTAGTGCTCGTTTTAAAACAGGTGCTTCACAGAGCATGGCCTCAGGGACAGACAGCAGGAACAAACGGTCACCGTTCTGCTCTGCCAGCCGCCTTAGAAGGGCGGGATTGTCATCTCTGCCCTACTAGTCCTACCCTTACCACAGATTAAAGAGTGCTTGAGTTAACTGGTATAGGTCATGCCCTGGGAAACAGTTTTACCTAAAACTATAGTCTTAAAATCTCTACAGAATTTTTATCCAATGCAAAACATTTTTAAGTAGATTTACAGAGGAACAGGAAAAACAAGTTGTGGTGCTACAGGTCTAATAGAAGAAGGGCAGTTGCTATGGTGAATAGAAATTCTTTAGCTGAGATGTCCACCCAGCTGGAAACATGGACTGGTAAATTTCTATCAAACTTCGTTTACCATGAAGAAAGAATTAATGCAATGCCCAGCTGAGCCTCTGCTTTACAAATTAACAGACTAAGATCAAATGAGTAGGCTGAAATCACACTGTTGCTTTTAGTCACGCAAATAGAAGTTGCTGTTACTTACCGCTGTATCCCAGGAATGTCACATAGATGTAATAGCCAATTGCAATCAGCCATAACGTATTCCCAACAAAATACCCAATGACAGAATCGGATATGATGACATCTGAAAGAGACAACTGCTCTCAGCTCTTTTGATAGAGCATGATGTTGAAGCAGAGAGCCCAGAATATTCTACTTACAGTTGATGAAAAACAGCTGGATGAAATGCAAAATGACTAGAAGTGGATAGAAAGCATTCAGGTGAACATCAAAGGCGTAGCCCCACTCCACATCATAGTCTCTGTTCTGCTGCTTCACCAAGTACTTATTAGAAATGAACCTACAGGAGAAGATATTTGAGAATGTTGTTAATGTGAATCTATAAAGTTGACAGACAAAATGTTGCTTTGAGACAGTAACCATACGTGATCCTAACTCTTCCCTGACACAGTTTCTGCTATCTAGGAGAAAAACACGCAACAAGTATGCAGACCAGACTATCGTTAAAATTTTGTTAAAACTATACTGACAGCCCTTGCACTCAACAGGCAGCTGAAATCCACTGCTGGTAACACAGAGCCAGAACTTTAAAACAGAGCGATGCTACAATCTGTGGATTCAGTTCCAAGTTCTCAGGCAGCGTGCCACGTTTGTTTGTACACACACGGGGGTGACTTCAGAGAAGTGCTTGTGCATGATCAGCAGACCTCGCACAGAGATGGTTCATTTCCTCCCTACAGACACGGCGCCCTGCAAGGCCAGGAAGAGGACAGGCTAGCATTCTTTAGGATGAGCCCCTTCTCCTTATTGAAAAGAAGTGCTAACAGAACACATGCTGCCTGCTGTTACAGACTACCAAACAAGCCTTGAAACTTTATTTTCTTCAGCTAAAGTTGTGCTGACATCAGAAAAAGTTTCCCATTCAGGGGAGGAACGAGAAGTCAATACACGCTCAGAAGTAGGAAGTTCAGAGACAGAGCTTTCACAGTAGCTTTCTCTGACATACTCGTGCCAGGGGCAGGGCCAGAAAGGCAGAGCCTGGGTGCAAGGTGAAGCGATGCAAGAAGGGGTTTAGACTCTAGGAATGGGGGGAGCTTTTGAAAAAAGAGGTGAATGTGCACTGGGAGAAGGGACCTGACCAAAGTGGAGCCAGGTGACCAGAAGTTAGGCCTGCAGGAAGCTGACTAAAGGACAGAGGAAAGCCAGCAGATGCTGAAGTCCTTCTGGTTCAGGAGATGGCATCCTGAGTCACACACTGCTGGAGGATGGGGGGAGGGGGGGGAAGGCATTACTACATGCTCTTCCCCAAGCAATTTATGGGTTGTCCCAGACAGGAGAGTATTGGAGATGGACCTTTGGTCTATCAGCTACAGTTTTTGCATGTCCCTCATCCCAAATTCTGCAGTGCCACGCAGGAGTTCCTGAGGTCACTGTTTGAAAGGAATCTATCCCTTTGCCAATCAGCATCAATTTAAGATGTCAGGTCCATTACTAAGAACTCGGTTTTTTTTTAAGGGCTCTTCCTTCCTTGTAAGTTTTCATTTTCCACCACTACCATGAAAAAGTTCTTGGTAAAATAAAAATTCTTCCTTTGGTGCTCTCACCTTGCCAAAGCGCAGGAACAGCGAGTTCCTGTTGGTCTGTGGTTCCCTTGCTGGTGCAGGACACATCTATAACGTGCTCGCTACTGCCTCTCCCCCTCTCTAAGTTTCTGGCCATTACAGGGTAAGAGTGGCAGTGACTACCACCAAAGCAACAAGGCCAACATGCATGAAATGGAACAGACATTGCTTGCAGTGGAAATAGCTAAAATCTTCAAGCAAGATGCATGGGCCAATTGTGTATCGCCCCACTTAAACATAACCATCCTCAGGCTGACATTACTTCAGCTGTTCAACCAAAATAAGGAATCAATAATTTTTGGTCAGTGGTTTTTTTATTTGGCATTACTGCTGGAGATTAACCAGCTCAAGAAGAAAGAAAACAAGCTGAAACATTGATCATAATACACTTTCTGGACATTCATCTTTTGCAGGAAATAGTAAAGAAAAAGATTTATTCCTTTTTTAAAGCAACATTTTGGAAAAAATACCACAACAGCACAAAACCTATAGTCAGTATTTACTTTATAATTTTGCCCCAAACAGAGAAACAAGTCTCTTGCAAACAGCAGGACTATTGGTGTCCCAACACCAATACTGTGCTCCATTTCAGCATCACTACTTACCACATCAGAGTAGCAATTAGGAGGCCAACACCTACGCAGTCTATGAATACAACCCAAAGGAGCAGCTTTACTGTTTCAAAAAACCCCATGTCCAGCACAAATCCAAATCCTACAGTAGACACTGAAAAGAGAAAAAGATTATTAAAGTTAGCTATGGAATAGAAAGCATGAGATCTTAAATTGATATGTTTTTTGAGTATACTGTTATGAAATCTTCAGTTCCTTTATTATTTTTATCCCTGAGATTTTCAGTCCAACAGCTCATTTTTTCCACCAACTACTAGGTATAATGCAATTTATTAATAATATAATCCCTTTTACAGATTGTATTGCTCCCCAACAACTATTTTTAAAAATTCACACAGTGCTACAATAAAATACTCTTTGTTTTATTACAGCTCCTTGTTAACTCAAACTGTGTGTGTGGTCATACACACTTTTATTTCAGAGTTAACAGTTTTGATATTACTAACAGCAATGTGCTACATAACAGCGGACAACTAGGATAATACTTATTGCATTTGCAATTCAGTCTAAAAATTACACCAGACACTTTGTTTATAACAATTCTGCAATATCTAGAACTTCACTGGGATCTTTGTAAAATTGTAAAAATTGTTTTATGTTTTTTTACGAAAACAATTGTAAAAATTGTTTTATGTGTAACATTCAGATAAACCAAATGTTCAGTATTTTTTAACTAAAGCATTACTACGTGGCATGGGGTTTTATTACTGTCTGTAAAGTTACAGGGAACTACAGTGCTTGAAATGCAACAGAAAAATAGTTGAAATAGATTAATTCAGGACTACATAGTATTAGTTATGCCTCCTCTGTTTTCTAAATTCCCATCTTTACTTTTCTGTGTGTGTGTCTATATGTGATTAGAAGGGCCACGAATGTTCTTCCCTAAACTTTCCCTCCCTCTCTTTTATGCTGTCTATTCTCCGGCACTCACCGCAGAGCCAGATACTGAGAAGTACTAAGAATGCAGGATCATCTCTCGCCCATTGGTCCTTTGTCTGTTTTCTGTAGTGAAAGTTCCTATAAACCCTCTGTGGTGAAGTAAACAGGTAAAGCATCTGCCAAAGAGCAAACTCAAAGTCCATCTGTCGGAAGTGGAAGAGCCTCCGCAGGTACTTGTAGCGTTTTGCTCCAGCTGTATGCCTCGCAGCATCTCGGGGGCTCAGCGCACCATTGCCCTGGCTCCGAGAGTTAACTGAAGTGGTTGGCAACATTTTGCTAAAGAAGAAATTCAAAAAGTTACATTTGTTTTTGTATATGACAAGGACTAAAAATAAAATCACACGAGGCAGCCCACATCTACAACACTGAAGTTACAAAAACTATGCACAAGAATAAACCATGACATCCAACACAAGATGTAGAACTGCTGGAGTGGGTCCAGAGGAGAGACACAAATATGATTAAAGGGCTGGAGCACCTCTCTTACGAGGAAAGGCTGAGGGAGCT